GCACAATAGGAAAAATAGGGCTCCACCAAACTTTGGTAAACTCGAATTGCAGTTTCTGTGGTAATAAAATATCTCATTCGTTTGAGAGCACCGATACCCGAAGAGACTTTTTTGGTGATATTATCAACATGATATTTCCAAGTCAAGTTCTCATCAATTGTTAAACCTAATGACTTAGACTTCAGCACTCTATTAATCTGTTTATTGTTAACACATACTTCCACATTCTGATTATCAAAGGTTGAAAGTCTTTGACGAGATCCAATAATCATAAATTCAGTCTTGGCAATATTTAAACTTAGCTTATTTGCCTCTAGCCATGTGTTTAAATTGGCTATTTCAGCATTCATAAGATTTTCTAGCTCAGAAAGATTATTACTTTGCATGCTGATGTTCGTGTCATCAGCATACATTCTAGGTAAACCCTCGTTCAAGCAGTTAGGCAAGTCATTGATATAGATCAAAAACAGAAGTGGGCCTATAATAGAGCCTTGCGGAACTCCAGGGGAGATAGAACGACTACCAGAGAGTTTGCCATTTACGTAGCATTTCTGTTTTCGATTGTTTAAATAGGAATTAAACCACGATAGCGCATTGTCATCCACACCATAACACTTGAGTTTACGTATAAGAATTTCGTGATCAATTGTATCGAAAGCTTTCTTTAGGTCAATGAAGATCACTCCGTTAAGCAAACCCTTATCAATATTTACGCACCAGTTATTACTCGACTCTAATAAAGCTGTAACGGTACTATATGATGCTCGAAACCCTGACTGATAGTTAGACAGTAAGTTGTTACTTGTCAGATAGGAGTAAAATTGGTCATAAACGGTTCTACCAAAAACTTTGGCAACCGCCGATATAATTGAAATTGGACGATAATTACTTAGATCACATTTGTCGCCATTTTTGAATAACGGTAAGACTTTTGTCATTTTCCAATCAGTCGGATAAATCCCCATAGAAAGCGATCTATTAAAAATTCTGGTTAACGAGGGGGAAAGAATATCAGCGGCTATTTTCAATAATCTACCTGGGATTTTATCAGGGCCGGTCGCTTTGTTAGCATTAATCGTTTTTAGCAAACAATTTACAGTGGACAAACCAATTTCCTCGAAAGAAAACACACTATGTGTGGATTGAATATAAGAAACGGGATTAACATTCGAGCTAGGTATTTTGCTCGCAAGTTTCTCTCCTATCGAGGTGAAATATGAATTAAAGGCATCCGAAATTTCAGCCGCATTAGTGATTTCATTACCGTAAAGATTGACTTTCTTGACACTGGTTACATCACTCACTTTACGAGAGTTCAGATCGTTGACTAGTCTCCAAGTTTTCCTTGGATCTTTTCGTGCAGCCTCAATATTAGTGATAAAGTAGTTATGTTTAGCCTGCCTAATAGTGTTGTTAGTTTCATTTCGAGCTTTCTTATATTGTAACCAAATTTCATCGTCACGTGTAATATCGAATTGCCTTTTTAGATAATCTCTTTCGCGAATTTTCTGAACTACATGTGAAGTAATCCAGGGAGACTTTCGGTTCCCTATACGTTTCTTTTTAAGTGGGGCATGTTTATCAATCACAGACATAAACAAATTCAACCATTCAGTCCACATATCATTAGGGTCGTTATGCAGACAAACCTGCTCCCAATTTAGATTATTTAAATCGTTCAAATATGCATGTTCATTGAAGTTTCTGAAATTTCTCTTTTCAACAAAAGTATTTACCGGTGCCTTATGATATGTACATTTCCGAATAAGGTATACCAGAGAATGATCACTTATACCAAGAGAAAGAACACCGGAAGCTTTTACTTTATCAAGATTATTGGTAATACATAGATCGATTAATGTTTGTGAGGTATTAGTTATTCTTGTAGGTTCAGAAATTGCCTGTGAAAGATTGTAAATATCAAATATATTCAAAAGCTCAGACGTGTTGGAATTTGGTGTGTTTGACAATAGGTTACAATTCAAATCTCCAAGTAAATACAGTTCGGAATTCTCAGCATCTATCTTATCGATAATTTCCTCGAATGAAGTAAATAATTGTTGGGACGAGCTTGGAGGTCTATACCAAGTACCCACCAAAAACGGCTTTAAACGAGGATTAGAAATTTCGATTATTAGGATTTCAAGATCATTACATGCCAGATCTTCACGAATTCGAAAGTTTAGATTGCTTCGTATATACATACAAACACCACCACCATTTCTACCATTAACCTTACGGTCTAGCCTAACAACATCATAGCCTGAAAGATGGATTTCACTGTTGCCGATGGACGAATCTAACTTAGTTTCATTTATAGATAATATATCGATTTTACTATTGTCCATAAAGATTCTTAAATCATCAATGTGAGCTAACAAACTATTTATGTTTAGACAAGCAATTGCAAGACCATGGCTGAATAATCTAGTATATGGGGCTTCGGTATTAGAAATACGAGATGCGGATAAAGAATTAACTGACTCTCTTACGGCAATTTCCTAACAGGAATTAATGTACTTAGAAATGTTCTTTGCTACAATAGAAGTTCCTTTACGATTAAGGTGCAATTCCCTTGTGTTTAGACAAGACAAATTAACCGATTTATGATCAATAAATGCCCATTGATTTTTAGAGCATATTGCTTTAATAAGCTTGTTAGCTTCTGTTGCTTTTGCCGATAGTTCAGATTTATCTGATCGTGGTAATATACTAGAGATCACAATGCTGGTTGCTGGGGAATCTTCTTCGATTTGGGTTGCGAGATTTGCAATCCCTTCAGCCACTCTCTTAGCAGATAGATGTTTTAAATCGTTAGTTCCTACGTGTAGAATGACTTTATTCGGCTCCTTACGAAGGATGGGCTTTAAATAGTCTTCCATGTCTGTTATATTTGCCCCAGAAAAGTTCTTGACAACAACATGGTTGTCAGTGTTAGAAAGACGCCAGCCTTGCAGGTTCTGGACAATTGAATCTCCTGCAACAACAGTGACATTTTTCACAGAATAATTTGCATGTTTGTTATGCGTTTCTGGCACAGTATGCAAGTTATTGGTGCCACTGGTATTTGATGGAATTTTTTGAACAACAGGGTCTGTTATTGAATTGACATTTGATGGAATTTGTTGCATGACTGGTTCTGTCATTGTATTGTCATTTGATGGTATTTGTTGCATGACTGGTTCTGCTGTGGAATTATTGTTTGCTGGAATTTGTTGTAAGATTTCCGATCTAGTTGTGGAATTTGCATTTTCGGTTATAATTTTCTGTTATATTCACCTGTAGGTGAATATAACAGATTAATACGTCAAATTTGACCAATCACCTTGTAAGATTTGTTATGTTCACTTGTGCAAAAATACTAAAGTTCAATATTTTGAATTATACCGAACAACTCTTGATAGCTCCATATAGGTGGGACCTAAATATACAATAATAGTGTGATGTATCCTTTGCTACAAATTAGCGCATTAAGAAAAAGAACTAAATTTTATCATGCTAATTGCCTATTAATAAATCAGCATACCGATGATAGTAATTTAGTAATTACAATTTATTATATAGGCAAATAGCATGATAACATTTAAATTAGTTATTTTTCTCAATGCGCTAATTTGTAGCATAATAGCATAACCACTACAGAAAAACAAAACAAATTACAGTAAATTACAACAGACTACACTACATAAGCGGCACACTTTTTGTATTTGAAGTGTAATAACCCTTCCAGTATATAGCCAAGCTAGTGATGTAGTATTGTGGTGTATTTGACATTTCATTAGGACAGTGAGCTGTCTTATGTTACCATGGAAACTTGTGTCATTGACATAGTGGATGACCAGTGGCGCAAGGATCAATTACCTTTTGATGGTAAGATATAGTGAACATGTCATTTCTTCTGCACACAATCTTCTACCATAATAATTGTGTCGATGTCTCGCTCTAGACTGGCCTTGCAAATAGCTCAGGGAAACATTGACTTCAATTAGCCTTTCAGTTTATAATTAAAATAATGTTTTCACATTGCTTATATTTTTCATGTCGTTTTCAAAAAATTACCCCAAAAATGGCATTTGGCGTTTGTGAGAATTTAAAGGCTATAATTGTATCAGTTTTGAAAAACTGTCTTGCATATGTAACAGTGTCATTGTTATAGCCAGACTGTTTGGTTTGCATGTGTACCTGTGCAGAAGTTTCAGCTGAATTTCTGTCTGTGCATCTTCTGGAAACAGAATCCACATATTTTGGATAAAATTAATGCATTTATGCAGGGCCGGATTAACGTTGCTCGAGGCCCGCGGCAGATTTTAGCACGAGGCCCCTCAACCCTCCCCCCGTTATGAAAACCTTTGCAATTCAAAGACACACAAAATTGTTAAATAATTGCTTTCAATATTTCAATTGATTGGCATCAATTATAAACAATTGCCTGCCTGGCCCAGTTGTTGGGTCAACAATATAAACAGGATCATATATAACAGATCAGCACAACTGGAGATTACATGCATACGAGTATTGTATATTTTCCTGGGGTAAACTGCCAATCCTAGGGGCCCTAAATGCGCGATGTCCCTAATTCGCGAGGCACCTATAATGGGTGTATCCTAATAGAAAATAGGCGTGTTTTTGTAAAAGTGAGCGTGGCGCAGTAAAGCGCGAGGCCCCCATAAGCGTGAGGCCCGCGGCATATGCCGCATCTGTCACATGGTTAATACGGCCCTACATTTATGGCACATCAGGGCGCATTGCCACTTAAATGTTTTCTATTTTGTGTGGATTATTTTTTAGACATTCTCATTCCCGAGAGAGAATTGCCGCCAAGTGATGACACTGACAGTACGTTTTAGTGTGCTTATCATATAATTACACTTAAATTTTCTTTATATGTAAAAACAAAAACTTTGGGTCATATTCATGCCATATGTTGTTACATTTACTAAATATTGATATTGTTGATGTTTATATATTAGATATGGATTAGTGTTGTTTTTATTGGATGTTAATAATTGTGCACTCTAATTACCAGATATTGATATTTCCGAAACCATGAGAGAACAAGATGAAAAGTGGATGGACCTTGGCCTTCAAAATTTACAGGAATCACCAAGACATAATTGAATAATTGTTTTGTCTATATAGCTAGAGAAGTTATTTTGACATTGTTTATTTATTTACTGCATGTGTGGATACATTGTATGGCCTCATAGGTTTTTTTGCAGTTCACTAAAAATATATTTGACAACAATCAGTGAATGGAAGAAGAAGACATATTGTTAGCACAGCAGTTTTCTGGGAAATTGCATGTTCTTGAATAATCTGACATACTACATTGATAAGGTCAGGGTGTTCCAAAAAAACCGCAAAACCATTGAAATAACGTATTGTTAAAATTTGAATTCCCTAACACTAAGCTGAGCGCAAAGATGTGTAAAATATTGACAAGGGTGCATTTATAAATATTGACTTATTAAGAAATTAAAATATCTTTGTAAAGCGCACAATTTTCTGCTCTTGAGAATTTAAAACAGCTTCTTAAACGGTTTTCTTTGTGCATAAAATTTACTTAAGCTTTGATACACGTGTGGGTTCAGCAAAGTGCCGAGGCATTCAAATTCTAACAATACGTTATTTCAATAGTTTTCTTCGTTTTTTTGGGAATATTATGAGAGATATATACCCAATATTGAATTAATAATGTTTCATGATTTCAACATGATACTTATATTACTGTTTCATTGGCAGCCATATAGTTCATGCCAACACATATTTTGCACACCAGGTAAAAGACGCACATATATGAAACAAGGCGATTTTATTTGAATGAAAAAAATTTTCACTCGTTAATTGAACACAAAAGAAGAGATTCTGAGATGGCGCGTTCTTTTAACAACCAATTAATTAATGACGCAATAGAATTGCAGAAATTATTGAGCGCAGTATATTTAGATGTTGTTTCAGGTAGCATTTGCCGTATTTCTCCTATTTCAATTCTCTGAAACTATCCTTTGGAATCCGTGTCCTTCATTACGTTCTACATTTCAAGATATTTATATCGACAGCCACGGTAGAAAACGACCGAACTGTGTTTGTAAAAATGATCTGTTTGGAGAGCAATGCCAGTTTAAAGGTTAGATCTTCATTGACTTTTACTCTCGACTCTCGACTTTTACTCTCGACTCTCGACTTTTACTCTCGACTCTCGACCTTTACTCTCGACTCTCGACTCTAAATACACTATTAATGATAATATTTATATTATGTATTCTTTAACAGTTTATGTTGCCTTTGATGGAAAACAAAATGGCGTTAAGAAGCACCAACCAGGTAGATATTTTTAATGTAAGATGAGAGGAAGGGATAAGGGAAGATAATCAAGGTTGTCTTGCATGGCATGCTGAAAATTAAAATAATTAATGAACGTTCAAATCCAGTGTATGTAGTGATACGAACTTTCCTACATGATACGACCACCAAAAAATACAAAAGAACTCAAGCGGCCTTCGTGTGGACGATAGTAGCGAACGCAGAACGTCTCAAAGACGAAAATGAGGTCTTATACTAGCTTAACAGAGGAATTATATAGTCAAAGACATGCAATCATAATGACGGACTGTTATTTCTAGTGAATGGAGCATGGTCCATGTGGTCAGTGTGGTCCCAGTGTTCTGTGGCGTGTGACAATGGTACACGATCAAGGTTAAGGTCATGTACAAGCCCTACTCCGAGGCATGGGGGAGAAATGTGTCATGGGATACGTCACATGAACGAGAAATGTATTAACGAAGCTTGTAGTGAGAGTAAGTTAGTATGCATGCATGTATACATATTTACTTTTACGATGAAAAATCTCACTCCATCTTCAACGTGTCGTTTTCGTTAATTTGTGAAATTTTCAGTTTCCGACATTGCAACATGGTCTCTTCTTGAAAAGTTAAAAAGTTTGGAATTCACTTCAGTCGTCCTTGGAGCTGCTGCTGGTTTTACGACTTGTCTACTTATTACTGCTTGTCCATATTTGCTCAAGAGGTAGTATTACCTTGGGGCTGGTTGTTTCATAGTTAATAGAAGAGATGGTTTGGAAACTCATTAGAGTGACAATATAACTCATTATCTATGTTAGTCAACGGTTATTCATAAATCTGGTCGTTCACCGTCACGTGTGTATTGTATTTTTGCCTAACTGACCAATAGCAATGTCTTAGGAAAGTTTCCTATCCGTGACTCGAACAATAGGGTAAATTGAAAATTGCTATTGGTGGATTGGGCAAGAAAACAATACACACTTGGTGAAGGACCAGATTTATGAATAAACGTTGACTAAGGGACCGTTCATTATTTATACCCGGGGTTGGTACCGAAGAGAAGCGAAAACATGTAAATTTTTTATTTACCCAACCTCAACATTGGTCAAAATAATGTTTACCCAACCCATGTGTTACTGTACTTGATAATAGTTATACACATAATAATTAAACACATGGTGACAGAAATCAAGTTGCCTAAATTCTAAAAGCTCACTCACACTCAAACTCACTGAGTGTGCCAAACAAATCACGTTTCTGCTGATCAATGATAGAGTCCTTCCTCTATTAGTATATCACTGATGGTCTATTTTGGTACAGAATGTATTGTACACATTTTTCTTCATATTTTCCAATGCATGGTAATTTTGGTTTTATTTTATTTTATAGCTGACAAACAGCCATAAATTTTTTTTACCCAACCCATGAGCTAGTCAAAAACTTGATTACCCAACCCATATCTCTTCGGTACCAACCCCGGGTATAAATAATGAACGGTCCCTAACATCGATAATGAGTTATGTTGTTATTCTAATGAGTTTCCAAACCATCTATTCTATTAACTATGGTTGTTCAAACCTGGGTTAGCTTAACCCTCGGTTAACCTAAAATTCAAAGCAAACTTCCTGACAGCTTGTCTATAAATTTGGAAATATTTCTTCAGAGATCTTGTCTGGATTGATAGGAGTTTACTTCTCTGAAGTTTGGAAATAAACAGACGTGCAGAAATACACAAACTAAAACAGCAGGTTAAATTTTAACCCAGAGTTAGCGCTAACCCAGCTTTGAATAACCCGCCCTTGGTGTTTAAGATGATCAATAGTTCATAGCTGACAAAGTTTCCTTGCCGTTTAGGTGGGCAAGGAGTTTGAGAGAGAAATATCAATCACGTCAAGACGAGAAGATACCTAAACTACTCCCGTTTACCCAACAGCAATCCCCATTAAACCCACCATTACCACCTCCTCTCCCTCCACCTCCCCCTGCAGTGAACTGGAGACCAGTCCCTGTTCTCGCTACTCCACGACACCCAGCTGCATGGAGGCAACCTGCACATCAGAAGGAAATGGCCAATAATCTTTTCATGGACGAGTTACTGAAAGCATTCAAGACATTTAATTTCGATGCAAACAAACAGTTTGGAAAATCATCTGATAAACCACCGTAGTTGATTAAGAGTGAAATTGGAAACAGAATGTGTAAAAATCTGTCAAATAATTAAACTTTAGTGCACCTTATTTTGAAATGTCTTTGCTCATACAAAAGCAGTTATATTTTAAAATTTCTAGGCTACGAGTTTCTAAAATGCAGAAACGATTTATACCTCGCGTTTCAACGCTCGGTCCAACAATGGCTCGAACCCTGAGGTTTGCTGATTTTTGATTGGTTAGAATATTAATTAGCAAGGGGGGCGGTGAACTCATTATTTGAATGCTTCACCTTGGAGACTGACTTTTATATCGAAGAAAACATTTTATTTCAAGTATATTTATTTTGTACAGCAAAAAAATGCCTCGAAAGGCCATGAAATGTATAGTCGAGTTTGATGTGCATACGGTAAGCTTTGGTCGTGTTAATTTTTTGAAGTTACCACATGGTTGCTAATGACGCCTTATGTATAGTTTGTCGTTCCAATCTTTCAAAATTTCATCATTTAGGTTTTGTGTCCTGGAACATATCTGCGAGATTACGGCTATGTTTTTCTTCGAGTCACCTGCATGGGTTTAGATGTTAGTACTAAAGCTGTACCGCCAACATTTCCCTTATTTTTTCACGAAAGACTTCGCTTTGAACGGGTAATAATCTTTGTTGACTATTGGACTCATTTATATTCTTACGCCACAAAATTACAGTAATTGTTTTTATATATTTGCTTGCAAACAATACCTAATAAGGTCCAATATATTTCTCATTTTATCACATTTTTATTTAATTTTCAGACATTTAAAAATTGTCAAGACCCAGCCTATGTATCTGTCTTACTCAAAGGTAAACAAAGAAGAATATTTAAATTCATATTTTGAAATGTGTTTTTTTTAAAAGTAATTCATGATTTTGATATTTATTTTTCAAGGAGAGGACTTAACAATTGAACTGCGGCAGCATGATGATTATATATCGGGTATGTTTTATCTTGGAGAAGTGTAACTATGTCGTAAACTATTCAGTTTATTGTTACGTAGGCTTCTGTTTACGTTTGTACTTAGTCAGTCTACTTATTCTGTTGTATGTGTGATCTGTCTTCTCTGTCATCTGTCAACATAGACATATCTTGCCATATAATCCTATTTGGATTAATTTTCAATATCTCAGCATGCTGTACACAGTACATTACGATGTTAGGGTTTGTAATCCAAGTGAGAATATATACTTTTTAAGACCTAACCGGTAGGAATCGAACCTACGGCCCTGCGATTCCGCAAATTGCAGTCGTTCCTTGTTAGGTCTTAAAAAGTATATATTCTGACTTGGATTACAAACCCTAACATCCTAATATTAATTCCACCAAGTGAAGTGCAAGAACTAAGTTATTCATGTACACAGTACAGTTTGACATCACCCAAATGACTTTGAAATTAATAGAGTGCATTTAGATATTTAACTCATTATGTTGCCACAGTGCACTTTGCTTGGTCTATGATCAAATTATTTTACCCATCAAGGGGGGAGCTAGCGCTCAATGGATGAAGAGATGCAGGGGAAGCTGAGAATTAGTAATTACAAAATAATGATGAACAGTGGCCAATAAAAACATGTTTAGTTGTTTATCCCAAGTGAACTTCTCTAGCATTTTAATCCTTTAAGTAGCAATGCACCCAGATATGCCCTACGTTATTATTTTACTCTGTCTAACACCAGACGATTTTACTCGTCACAGGAAGAGTGCTGCCACTCAATGAGTTAAACAAAGCTAGTTCAATGTGATTGGCTGATCAAAATAATTATCAAAAGCTAATTGTTATAAACATGAATGTTACCGTGTGAGAAAATCTATGAGTGTTGATGCAAATCAAGAGGTAGATGATGCAATGCAGAGACATGTGTTGATTGCTTTGTTTAGATGGTTATGTTATTGCACATTATTCTTCAAATGTCAAAGATTTTCTCTACCCAACATCTGTGTCATCAATCTCCCTGGACGTAACGTGACACTTTACAAAACATCACTTTTTAATCCAATCAGGATCACTGTAAGTTTCTTAAGCATAATTTAATCTCGCAGTATTGTCTATAGCTAATAGCAATTGGGTAAATATTGAGATCACCACATTTGACAGGACTGATCATAGTAAACAGAAATTTTTATACATCTTAACCTTCACTTAACATGGAGCCAATATTTACCCAATCATATCACATCTTAACTGTCACCATCAAATGTGGTGAATGCTTGACTTAATCTTACATTGAAATATTCTTCCTTAGGGTGAACCTGTCCGTCTTGAATTTGCAACAAAAACGACTCTTAAAGAAGTTCCTGACCCAAGTGACTTCAGTAAATCAGTAAGTAATGATGTACTAGCTAACTTGCATACTGGCTTTTCTAGAGCAGGGATATTTACCGTGCTGTGAATGATTTTGTAAACCAGAGCTGTAGTTACTATATTTGGCAAGCACTAAAATATTTTACAATGCACATGAAATCAAGTCATGTCAAAACATAAAATGACATGAAATAAATTTCAATTTTCTGAATTTTATTTCAGACTGAGTCGGATGAAGAGGTTCTATCTTATTTAAACGCATCACATTCACGTAGTAACTACAGCTCCGGGTCTCCATGGAAACCTGACGAGGACACAGCTCAGCATAATTCAGAGTTTGTTGTTCGACATAAAGATGAAAAACTATTGGAAAATCGTGATTTTTCTTCTTTTATTAATCCCAAGCCACGAAGATCAAGATCACCCACACGAAGATCCAGATCTGTTTCTCCTTCAAAGAGATTTCAGGGAAATGTGACGTCAGAGTCCATACCAGGTAGGCAGCAATATTTGTTTAGCCCTGTGGACAGCTCCTGCTGAGATCCTGGGAGATCAGAATGTAGTTAATGTTTATAGCAGTTTCGCTTTCTCGCGTTCAGCGCCGTTTTTATTTGGTTTTATTTCGTTTTCACGTTGAGTTACGTTCACTTGAGTTACTTTCACTTTGAGTTACGTTCACGTTGAGTTACGTTCACGTTGAGTTACGTTCACGTTGAGTTACGTTCGCTTTGAGTTACGTTCACGTTGAGTTGCGTTCACTTTGAGTTACGTTCACTTTGAGTTACAGTACGTTCACGTTGAGTTACGTTCACGTTGAGTTACGTTCACTTTGAGTTACGTTCGCGTTGAGTTACGTTCAAATCGTTTTGAGTTCCCCTTATATTCGTTGGATCCGCGTTCATAGAGCATTGAAGCGAACGTATTTTAAAACGCGAATCAAAATAAGTGGTTGGAATCGCAGTAAAAGCAAACGCAGAAATCGCAGCAAAATATATAAATAAAGACAAATAAAAGTGTATTTCGTGTTTCTTCTGCATCTTTTAATCTGCAAATATCTTAACTGTTTTATGTCATGGTTCCATCACATTCTTTAGCTTGGAAATACTCAGTGGATTTCCCCAGCAGCAGTACAACGCGAAGACGAGGCCGACACAGTCGTTCAGCCACAGAACCAGCCTCGTTTACGTCATCATATCGTTCTCCAAGTCCCAGCCGTAGTTTGAGATTCGCTTTAGATGACCTGGATATCACGACATCTCGCTCTTACACTGAGCATGCATTACGTCATCAGACGAGATATTCACCTCACTTGTCTGCCGCATTGTCAGCTTCTGACAGAATACAGTCACGTGTGGATAGAGTGATGAGGGTGAGTTGCTTTGTTTGATAAGTTTAGATAGAATACAGTCACGTGTGGATAGAGTGATGAGGGTGAGTTGCTTTGTTTGATAAGGTTAGATAGAATACAGTCACGTGTGGATAGAGTGATGAGGGTGAGTTGCTTTGTTTGATAAGGTTAGATAGAATACAGTCACGTGTGGATAGAGTGATGAGGGTGAGTTACTTTGTTTGATAAGGTTAGATAGAATACAGTCACGTGTGGATAGAGTGATGAGGGTGAGTTGCTTTGTTTGATAAGGTTAGATAGAATACAGTCACGTGTGGATAGAGTGATGAGGGTGAGTTACTTTGTTTGATAAGGTTAGATAGAATACAGTCACGTGTGGATAGAGTGATGAGGGTGAGTTGCTTTGTTTGATAAGGTTAGATAGAATACAGTCACGTGTGGATAGAGTGATGAGGGTGAGTTACTTTGTTTGATAAGGTTAGATAGAATACAGTCACGTGTGGATAGGGTGATGAGGGTGAGTTGCTTTGTTTGATAAGGTTAGATAGAATACAGTCACGTGTGGATAGAGTGATGAGGGTGAGTTGCTTTGTTTGGTAAGGTTAGATAGAATACAGTCACTTGCTAATGAGGTACGAGCAGTTTACTCTACACGTAGGAAGGTCGTTGTGTTCGCAACAACCATGTATATAGCAAGCAGTGTAAACAATGTAGTTCTGCTGCAGGTTTTATTTTGAATTTACTTGACGTGTAGTAAATTACGTCAGCATTCTGACAGGATACACATTGAGCTTAAACGGGCTTATCCTGATTGATACTAGAGAGTTTAAGTTCGACTTCCGATACCAATACCGATACTAACAACAGGTCATGCGCATGCTCTCTGCTCGCAAGAAGCACGAGGACAAGTGTATTGGAAGTCACCACTACCGAAGTCGGTCTTGTATTGGAAGTCGGGGGAATTGTAAGATAAACTCATATAAATCGGATATTTCATAGTTTTTACGATAAACATGTAAACTATTTGTTTATTAGCATCGCCTGAGTCATGTTTTAGTCGGAATTTTAGCTCAGCTGCCGTTTAGTATACCGCACATTTTCGTTGACGATTAATGTGTTCTCTACTTTATCTGTCGTGATAACTTAACGCTTTAAAATTCCCGGTACCAAAATGAGAACGGAAGTGAAAACATCGGTATTGGTATTGGAAGTCGAACTTAAACTCTCTACTATTAAGTTCCAGACAAATAAAATTTAAATGTTCACATCATGCCATTTTTCGTAGTCTGGTCAAGAATCTGATACAGATAGTAACTGGTTAATCACCTCATGTGAACTTTCTTTTGAATAACTTTGCCACCTTTTTGTTGAAATCTAAATAATGTAAATATTCTAATTTGGTCAATGACTTACAGTAAGGAAATATGATAGATTTCATGACAAAACCATCACTAAATAATTTTCAAAATATAGGGTTGATGGTGAAAATTTGTTTGTTTTGGTCAAATATTTAGCAATAACTCAAGAATCAACATACATTATGTCTGCTGGAAAGTTCTGTTTCAAATGTTCTTTCGAAAGACGTGATAAATATTTGATGGTGATGATGTGGTGGCAGGATAACATGAAACAACAAAATGTTCACCTCGACTGGCTGATCATGAAGTGCATATGCAGTGATGTAGTGCGTCTGATATTTACATGCTTCCTCTGTGTCTACAATTGATCTCATATACTCAAATGTTGCCTTACCCCATCGTCTAAAAAAATCAAGAAGAATCTAGATATATACAATATCCTTCGATAAAAGAGTACAGGGACTTTAACATCGTGCCGCCAGAGCCATGGATGACAGCATCTTTTAAGAACTTAATTACTGCACTGGCACTGCATGCTTTTGAAACACAGTGGAAATACAAATCGTTGGCACCATTATAAAGACAAGAAGGTTAAATTGGAAATCCCACGATGCTTACACATGCATTGCGGTGCCATCTTTAAGTCTGGTTCACATTGAACCGGTGGTCATTGATGCATAAAATGTTTTGTGCATTTTCTTCTTCGTTGCTCACAGACAATGGGTCGTAGAACATCGCCGATCAATGTGAACCAGGCTTTATTGAAGGACTTAATTACCAGAAATTTGAATCGCAAATGCATACTTTGAATACCCAGACAACTAGAAGAAAAAGAAAAGATGTCCTCAGCTTCTAAGTGATGAAGAATGTAGGAAGAGTACATACGGCGAGAAAACTTGGAAACCCATTTTGGAACACTTAAGACACTACTTCGTTAAGATTTGGCCCTTCGACGTGAGGTAGATGAAGAATGAAATGTCTACCACTTTAATAAATACAAGGGTCAGTGTATTGGGTTTGATGGCGCAATGGCAACAAAGAAATCTCTGGCGAAGAAAGTCAAAAGTGAAATGAATGAATCTGCCATTTTTATTCACTGCTTAATAGCATATTGGCAAGAACTAAGATGCGACCAAACAGTGCTGAGCTTTGGAGAATGCGCAGTCACTACATGAAGACCTGTATGATTGTTGGGATCTCTACCAAACGTGTGGCTCTGTTTGCTAAGATCCAGGAGATCGACACTGATGTGTTGCGCCTCCGATCAAACTTCTCAAGAAGACAACGAGGGCAGTAGCAGGAAATGTCATAACTTCAAAACTTAAAGATAATTTCTGAAGACAGAAACAACGATGTCAAATGCAAAGCCAAAGCAAAAGGGCTAAGTGCCGGAAAGTGCCAAGTACCGGAAAGTGCCAAGCACATGTTTAGTGTGTTTCTAATGAGGGATCTGGCGCATATTCTGGAAATGAATTCAAAGAATCTACAAAAGAGTGATCTTACAGCGGAAGTAGCAATGGACCGCAGCAAAAAGATTAAAATAAGAAACAAAAAACGGATATTGATGAAATTTTTATCTGATGTTGTTAATAAAAGCAAGTTGTTAAAAAAGAGAACTCAGTACCAGGTCTCTGACTTCTTGAGCACAGCCCCAGAACAGACTTAATCCAGCACCACCATGTCCATAATTGTGAACTACCTGAAAATATAATCCTCTGATATAGTGTTGTCTTTATCCAAGATCAGAAGTTTTATGTCTGAAATATTTCATATTCCACTGTGCCAAGTGTCAGCATTTTAGTTCCATATTTCGATGCCACTTGCATAATCTCTCTTTCCACACGAATTGTATCTCTGACTGGCCTCAGACCTACCCAGGCTTTGATTAGAACTGCATTCTGTAAAAACAACATGTCAGAAAATATTCATCTTGCATTGTTAGCAACATGAAGCAATTTAGAGTGGACCTGCCTTAATTGTGGGTTCAAATTCTGCAGCTCTTTCAATCATGGCTTGTGTATGATGGTGATTGTCATGATGATGGTTATCATGATGATGGTGATCATGATGATGGTAGTGATGATGATACTGGTGATTGTCATGATGATGGTTATCATGATGGTAGTGATGATACTGGTGATGATGGTGATTGTCATGATGATGGTAGTGATGATGATACTGGTGATTGTCATGATGATGGTTATCATGATAACGGTAGTGATGATACTGGTGATGATGGTGATTGTCATGATGATGGTTGTCATGATGATGGTAGTGATGACGATACTGGTGATGATGGTGGTTGTCATGATGATGGTAGGGATGATGATACTGGTGATGATGGTGATTGTCATGACATGATAGTACTGGTGATTGTGGAAATCATGGTTGTCATGTCTAACTGGTTAATCACCTCATCAAATGAGTGAACTTTCTTTTGAATAACTTTGCCACCTTTTTGTTGAAATCTAAATAATGTAAATATTTTAATCAGGGGCAAAACTTGAGGGGATTATCTGGATTGGCAGGGAGAATCATCTGCATTGGCAGGGCAATTAAAGATTTTAAAAGATAGAATGTAGAAGTTATTAAATAACTTACAGGGCTTCCTTTCATGTTTTAACAGGAATTTGTACGGCAAAATTTTTTCAACCCTTTTTCGACTTTTGGAGGGCAATTCTGGTAGACACTCCCCGAATTAATTTGGTCAATGACTTACAGTAGGAGAAGAATTCCTAGAAAATTCTTCAAACTATACTTACTCTTTTAATTTTATATTTAGGTAGGGAGTTCCAGGAAATATGATAGATTTCATGACAAAACCATCACTAAATAATTTTCAAAATATAGATTTGATGGTGAAAATTTCTTTGTTTTGGTCAAATATTTAGCAATAACTCAAGAATCAACATACATTATGTCTGCTGGAAAGTTCTGTTTCAAATGTTCTTTTGAAAGACGTTCATGATACAGAAAGATGTCACTTAAAGGAGGTTTCTAAATAAACATACTATTAGATAACTGATAAATATTTGATGGCGGTGATGATGATGGTGGGATAACATGAAACAACACAATGTTCACCTCGATTGGCTGATCATGAAGTGCGTATGCTGTGACGTAATGTGTCTGATATTTACATGCTTCCTCTGTGTCTACAATTGATCTCAGATACTCAAATGTTGCCTTACCCCATCGTCTAAAAAATCAAGAGGAATATTAATTAATCTTAATTAATAGAATGTATTGATTACTGCACTAAGGCAATTTTATGGTAATTGCTAAATATACAGAATATGCTATAGCCTGCATAGCAGGCGCTATTTTTTAGGAGGGGGCAAGGGTGGGAGAAGTTAAGGGGGGGGGAAAGAAAGAGAGCAAGGACTACCCCTTTCTTGCCCCTTCCATTTTTTCCTCACTCCTTTCTCTTGCCCCCGCCCCCCCCCCCAGCTTCTCCCACCCTCGCCCTCTCCCCTTAAACAACGCCTGCTAAATATGCTATTTTTTAATAGTATATGCTAGTCATGCTATTATTTACTGTTGTTTATCAATTGGTGTATCCTTTAAAAACACTGGCTCCCAGAATCCAGCAGCTCCGTCGCTTGTGAGGTTAGGAGAGAACTGCTCAGATATTATGGTTAATTCTAATGCTGGATCTGCTTGTTGTAAACAGATTGCGCTCGAAACGCCACAAATAGTTAGATGTAAAAATTTCCATGATGTCTCAAATGCCAATGTTATCAAGTCAAAAGTTGACAGATCTAGCAAGGAATTTCAGGTAAAAATATTTTGAATATTTTATATTATGCTATATTATTATCATTCGGTTTGTGCATATGTTTATATATGTTGTAGGAAAATAAGGTCAGTATGGTGGACATGTTAATAAGGAGCATTTTGTTTTAGCTGGGTACATTAAATTACACACTGCAATTTGTTTGGTCAATTGAAAAATAAATTACACCAACTGGTCCAACCCTTCCAGTGGGCATTCCATGCACTCCATGCCGGATATATCCGGCGTGAGGTTACAACATTGTTGGCGTAATGGCGTGAGATCACTCAAAAACAAGTGATTAGTTTGAGCGTGATTTCATGGCCACATGTAAATTGACAGTATAACTACACGAATATGATGTTGACATGCAGTACATATTAGGCCAAATAAAAAAAATACTTGGTTAGCGTCACACTCTCACAAATTTTCAGAGGCGGGCGGGCGGATTTTTTTTTTAATTTTTACTCGTTTTTTAATTTTTTAATAGTATTTTTGGAGGGGATAGGGGGCGGTTTTTCCACCATATCGGTGATATTTTTTGTACTGATGTTGCGAAGGCCGCCATTTTGCTTTAAGAACCTTGTATACCCAAGCCTACGCACTCCTATCGATCAGTATATAGTGCGAAGGTCTGAGCATGAGAAAAATTTCAAATATTAAACTGTTTTAAGCTGTAAAACGAAGAGATTTACATAAAAAAAATAAATAAAAAAATTCAGAGACGGCAGAAAATCGAGAGGCGGGCGGTGACCTAACCAAGTATTTTTTTTTATTTGGCCTTAAAAACACACCATGTTAGGTATTTTGAAAACATGGATTTAAGTCCCCAAAATTGAAAATCTCCAATGTATTGGCGTAAAGGATCGTACATGTTGGCGTATCTCCGGCGTAGAGGTTACTTGGAATGCACCCTGGCAACCCTTGTTATATGACATCAACTGAAAATATTTATCAATAACATGTAGTAAATCTGACGTAATGAATATTGCCGTAACTTGGAGAGAAATGTAACTCTGATGTGAATAACTAGGTGGTGATGAAAATGCAAGAACTAGACACACATCAAGAGGGTGACGGTCAAGAAACATATTCGAGCTCAAGAAATTGCTAAACAAAATAATCTTCCTTGTATATACTTAGGTGTGTCAATTGAATTTATTGCTTTATTTTAACAATCCTAAAAATATGAACCTATCTTTTTCACAGTTTCCAAAAGTTGGCTTTTTACCATTGCAACATGAAGTATTTCCAGATAAATATCATTTTGGAAGAATATTTTATAATCAAGCAAGAATGTCGTCCATGGGAATACCACAGGTCAGGGATGAACTTTGTTATTTAACTTTGTCTTACATCAGTGAAGAAATTGTTCCTGCAGCAGATCCTGCCCACGTCCATTGTTCTGACATCAACTGTATTTTATTTATTATTTTGCTCTCATACTTAGATTGCAGTGGTGCTAGGTTCATGTACGCGGGAGGAGCTATGTTCCTGCAATGGCAGATGAAAGTATTATTGTCAAGAATCAGGGAACAATATTTCTTGCTGGACCGCCATTGGTAAGATAAAAGACTTTCCCAGTGCATGCTGAACTTGAAGCCAGGAGAATTATCCTATTGTGAAATTTATGCATGATACTACACAACTTCATTCCTGGCTGAGCTTAGTGCAGAGCGCCCTTTTGTCATCCATTTCCGACCAGTTCATCACATGAATTTTAACCATTTTTTAATCAACACTATTTCAGGTGCAAGCAGCCACTGGTGAAGTTGTCTCATCTGAAGAACTTGGTGGGGCTGATTTGCATTGTGGGTAAGATGAAGCGGAGACAAGTTCCTTGGCTGCTGATATTTTTATATTGAATTTTATAACAATTGTTACACCTAATTTGAAAGTTGAGAATTATTTTGTAGTACGTCTGGTGTGACAGATCATTATGCAGTAGACGACACGCATGCACTACATATAGCAAGACAGGCTGTCAGGAATTTAAATCGATCAAAGAGATTAACAGTATGTTTGTTTTGTTGATGAATAAACTGTTCTACTCACTATTAATGCTAAAAAGTGTCCTCTTGTTGAGTGAAATAATCTGTTAAAATATTGCATTGTGGCTGAATTAAAGTCTTTACTTATTAGACAACAATAGAAGCAAGTGACGAACCTCTATACCCAGCTAATGATATTTATGGTATTGTTGGAGATAATCTGAAGAAATCTTATGATATAAGACAAGTAGGAGACGTTTGATTCAATATATATTTTACAACCAAGTTCTTTTTAACCTCGTACAGTAGTGGTAATGAAGATGTACAATGAAATATTTCAGGTAATAGCGCGTATAGTTGATGGCAGTAGGTTTGATGAATTTAAAGAAATGTATGGTACCACATTAGTTACAGGTCAGTATTTGGATATTTGATGTTTTATTTCATTGTAATCTGTGGTGAATCTTAAATATGTCCCGTGCTATGAACGGATGGGAGGCAACTCTCGATTAAAATATTGAATTCTTTCTGGACAGGTTTCGCCCGAATCCACGGCTACCCAGTTGGTATACTTGGGAATAATGGCGTGTTGTTTTCTGAATCTGCTCTCAAAGGAACACATTTTATAGAATTATGTTGTCAACGAAACATACCGCTTATCTTCTTGCAGAATATTACCGGTAGGCGGTAGGTTGCGTTGCACTTGATGACACCTCCAATCTTAAAAAGTTAGTTTAGTTTAGGTTTCCTGCTGTAGTAACACAGGTTCACGTTCTTGGACCTCTGGGAAAAGCAGTTTAAAAGTGATAGAGCTATCCAGTATAACACCAAGATTACACCAACAGGCAACACAGAAAAAATTCAGTATAAATAGTTGAGTGCTATGTTCTGTGTTGCAGGCTTCATGGTAGGTCGTGAGTTTGAAGCTGGAGGTATTGCTAAGAATGGAGCTAAGATGGTCACCGCTGTGTCTTGTGCTAAGGTTCCCAAATTCACCGTGATTCTTGGAGGCAGTTTTGGCGCTGGCAATTATGGCATGTGTGGACGAGCATACAGGTGGGAAGCTTCATTTAGTAACCAGAGAAACTATATCACCCAGGGAAACCAGAGAAACTATATCACCCAGGAACCACTACCCAGGGAAACCAGAGAAACCACCGCCCAGCGAATCAGAAACATTGTTAAGCCAGTTTTGTTCGCGAAAGCGACTTTTCCTGTTCGCATCGCTTATCGGGAACATCAGCCTGTTCCTTGCTTTCTAGCTTTCCTCAGACTTTCATAATTAGTTGTGGTTTGTAATCAACGACGATTAAATATTTTTCAGTCCGCGGTTCCTGTACATGTGGCCAAACGCGAGGATCTCAGTGATGGGTGGAGAACAAGCTGCCACTGTGCTGGCGACCATCACTAAGGGACAAAAAGAACGGGAAGGAAAAGAGGTAGGTATCTCACTACTGCCCCGCAAGAAACGACATCTTAATTTAGTAAAAATGCTGTGCTGAGTGGTTATATTACTACCGTAAAAAACAAGCAGAAACTCGACGTTTCGAGCGAAGGCCCTTCGTCAAGAGTTAGTGCCTCGCAAGAAACGACATCTTTCTGAAATGATCTCCATTCTTAGTTTACTGCTGAAGAAGAGGCTGCTTTGAAAGCTCCAATATTAAAAAGATTTGAGAAAGAAGGCCATCCATATTTCTCGAGTGCGAGGTACGTTTTTCTGCGGAACAGAAATGATAGGAACATGACAGGGTTGTCCTTCTTGTTGTCTGGGGTGTTGTCCGTGGTTGCCCGTGTTTGTTGTCCGATGTTTAGTCCAATATTTATCGTGTTATCATTCTCTAGGATCTGGGATGATGGCGTTATTGATCCAGCTGACACGAGGTCAGTGCTTGGTTTAAGTCTGAGTGCGGCTTTGAACGCCCCTGTGGAACAAACATCTTTTGGAGTATTCAGAATGTAGCAATATATAATAGCCAAATATTTAATACAAATCAAAGATATTTAATATCATGCATATTAACAATACTGTATACTACTACTGTGTCTTGATTGGTGCTGTTATTTCATATCTCCGAATACTTTCCCGAAATGACTCATCATCATGATTTTTTCTGTGTTGGTGTAATGTACTCAGGTGAATATGATGTTTGTGATGTTACTCTGAGTGTATATCCACACCAGGCAAGTTTGAAAAATATGCCTGACCACGGTGGGAATCGAACCTACGACCTTTGGAATACTAGCCCAATGCTCTGCCAACTGAGCTACGCGGTCTGGTCGGTTCGAGTATGTGATATTTCGGAACAGAATCTAGTTCCTTCTATATCAATGACTCATAGCAGAGTGCACGCAGTATCTTCAATATTTTTATCAAAGATGAGATTCTTTTGTGAAAATGCCCTCCATGTGCACTGAACTGTAGTGAAAGCCATCTTTCGTAAAATTCCGCTAAATAACAACCAATTAGAAAATTAATAAAGAATTAATGATGGTTAATTATTAACTCTCCCCCCTGGATGGTGACATTTCAGTTGATGTTGATAGTAGGTAAGTGTCAATATCAGGGGGTGGGGTAAGAAATTTATTTTTTAAGATCACCTCTGGATCACAGAGGAGAGACATACAGAGTTGTAACTAGTGTACCCACTTTTTTTGTGCACATGCTCGGCAAGTTACTAGATGCATGCATCTGATAGGATGACGACTAAACTTGCTGAGCACGCACAGTTGATCATTTTTTGTCCGGTCGCCTGAAAAAAGTGGGTACATGTTTACGACTGTCGGTTACGGTTCTGTATGTCTCTACTCTGTGCCTGGATGGTGGGATTTTGTGGATGTCGATAGATGGTGAGTGTAAATATAATTGGGGGGGGGTTTGAAGGGTCTGGAAAAGTCCACCATCACAGAAAACAACAAAAGTTAAATTTTGCTCCAATTTCCAGGAACAGGAAGCAATGTATTGGTCGAATGAAAAAATACATTGGTGATCTTTGCTTAGTAACAGGAGTACCAGAGGAAGCCATCTTTCATTACACTGTTGCGATAGATCTCCTTCGTTCAGTTGGTGATGTATTATGGACATCAGGGTCGTTAGAAGGTCTGTGTGCTGCCTCGTTACTGTGTCGAGCTGAACACAAGTTAACGTTACCTGAAAGACCATCGTTACAATTGGATATCAGTCAGTTGTCAACAGCAGGTCCTGTCTGGCTCTATCAGTTCTAAAATGTTCTTCCTAGAGGTCCAGTAAGGATCATCTCTTATTGATCCAGTGTTACTACAGGTAAGGAGGAAACCTAAACTAAACTAACTTAGTTTATTTATACTGGATAGCTCTATCAGTTCTAAACTGTTCTTCCAAGAGGTCGAGTAAGGATCGTCTCTTATTGATCCAGTGTTACTACAGGAGGAAACCTAAACTAAACTAACTTTATTTATACTGGATAGCTCTATCATTTCCAAGTGTCCACTGTAAAAGCCATTCCTTATTGGTGCAGTGTTACTGCAGAAGGAAATTTCTACTAAATGACATCATGTATTGAGAAGATTGTTTGTATTTCAGAGAGATGAAGGTGAATGTTCTTGCAAGTCATCTCAGACCTATATCAGTCCATCAAGTCCTTCTCCTGTCAAAACACCTTTCATCTTCTCAACTTTGAACAAAGGACCACGAAGAAAGAAGAAGGTGAACCCTGGTGAGGAGCTAGGACCTAACTAGTGCTAGTCTAAGCCATTGAGCACCAGCGCTCTCCCCTGGACGAGTAAAATTGTCTGGCATTGACAGAGTAAAATAATAAAGTAGGGCGCATTTGTGACTCAGCTCTGTGGGTATGCCTTGTCCCTTTTGGGTAAAATATAATGGGTTAATAAATTTTTATATATAAAAAGGGATATGTTGGTGTGTAGCGTACTTTATAAAATTTAAACACATCTGTTCACTGAATGTTTTAGTCGTCAGATGGGTTGAAGGAGATGTGGGTGAAGTTGCAATGCAGGTTTTCAATCCAATGCCATTTGACATCAAGATAAGTAAAATGGTAATTTCTAGTGCTATATTGTTTTCTGGCTTCCTTCATTCATGCAAATGCACAACCTGTCTCTGGTTGATGTGAACAAGATTTTGCTGCACACCTGTGAAGATGTGATCAACAACCTTGTTACAGAATTGTTTACATGTAACAACATTGTTGACAATTTGTTGACAAGGGTGCACCACAACCTTCTGCACCTCTGTTGATCACAGTTGTCCATTTATTCATGTGCAATGGTGGACACTAGGAGGGGGGTAACTGCCCCCCCCCCCCCAATATTTCACATCTACCACTTGTGTGTGGTGTCTACCACTGGTTTTATGTAGTTCTTGTGGTATTAAATTGTGTTCTAATTCTTAAATTTTCTATATAAAGTTGTCCATTTACACATATGCAATGGTGGACACTAGGAGGAGGGGTAACTGCCCCCCCCCCCTAATATTTCATGTCTACCACTTTGTGTGTGGTGTCTACCACTGGTTTTATGTAGTTCTTTTGGTATTAAATTACGTTCTAATTATTAAATTACGTTCTAATTATTAAATTATGTTCTAATTATTAAATTATGTTCTAATTATTAAATTATGTTCTAATTATTAAATTATGTTCTAATTATTAAATTATGTTCTAATTATTAAATTATGTTCAAATTATTAAATTATGTTCTAATTATTAAATTACGTTCTAATTATTAAATTATGTTCTAATTATTAAATTATGTTCTAATTATTAAATTATGTTCTAATTATTAAATTACGTTCTAATTATTAAATTATGTTCTAATTATTAAATTATGTTCTAATTATTAAATTATGTTCTAATTATTAAATTATGTTCTAATTATTAAATTATGTTCTAATTATTAAATTACGTTCTAATTATTAAATTATGTTCTAATTATTAAATTATGTTCTAATTATTAAATTATGTTCTAATTATTAAATTATGTTCTAATTATTAAATTATGTTCTAATTATTAAATTATGTTCTAATTATTAAATTACGTTCTAATTATTAAATTACGTTTTAATTATTAAATTATGTTCTAATTATTAAATTATGTTCTAATTATTAAATTATGTTCTAATTATTAAATTACGTTCTAATTATTAAATTATGTTCTAATTATTAAATTATATTATAATTATTAAATTATGTTATAATTATTAAATTTTCTATAGACATTGATGACAGAGGTCTCCCATTTCAAGCCTTTCCCTCGTGTCTTGCGCTATCCAATGACAACATGTCACATCCATTCATGCTCCTTGGTATCCCTGAAGGTCCAGGACAACTGGCTATTACAGGCACGTACTGCTTCAGATTTCAAGAGGATTTGTAAACTGGTGATCTGAACATTGTATGTTTGTTTTTTCAGGTTATTCAGTGGAATTATTTGGCATCCAAAGTAATTGTCCAGTCACAGAGACCATTCTAGACAAACAGTTTAGTCTTCCGTTGCTAGTGAACGTCACACCCAGACTACCCTTGCTGCAGTTCCAGTCTGGTATCAATGAGGTCAAATCATTTGTGAACAGTAGTCATAGAGGATCATCCTTGACTCTTGAAGTGAAACTCCACAGAGGACAGAGGTAGACACTTTATTGTTGAGTCCAGTGTAGGAACAATATTCATAAGCTTGGGTCTCATTGCCTGAAAATATAGAAAATACTGGCATCCTTTGTCTGCAAGTTTGCAAAGATAAGATAATAGTCCCTTACAGCGTTATACTTTGATTGTTCGGTTCCATTGTGGGTAGTGGCTGACAATATTCACGGGGTTCATTGAAGGACCTAACGACATGAAAATTATAAAAAATATATTTCTACCTTTCAAGCAAACACCCTTCTGCGCGCCGGAGCTGCGCGCGAATTCATTTGTGTCCTTTTGTGGTATGAACGCGTTTAGAATTTCCATTTCATTTTTGTTCGAAATATACACAAACACATTGTCATGTTCACATCACGCGTCTTAACTAGCTGAATGCTTACCCAAGGTTACTTTTTTAACTTATTGAAAATTTGTTCAAATTTTCCAGCATATCTGGTCCTATCGTGGTTGAAAATGTTGGTACAATTCCTGTGGAAAATGTCACAATCACACTTCTCAGCACTTTTAAAACTGGTAAGACTTCAACACAATTTCACGCATATGAACCTCCGATGACAATGGGAACGTTTCCATTGGTTCGAGGCATCTCTTGTCCTCACGTTTAAAAACAATGGAAGATGTAAACTTTATATTAACTTTCTTGATGTAGATAAAATCAACTTGGTGACATTAGATCAAGACCACGTGACTCAATCGTTGCCACTTCTGCCAGTAGCAAACAGCCACTTTAACCTGAGATTTGATGGTCTGTTGCCTGAGTCGTTACAAGATGGCGGCACTCTCAACTGGTCTGGGAAACTAAAGGTCTCCTATAGTGGAGGGGAAGCCTGGAAACTAGGAATGAGTCGTCAAGCTGCAGTAGATATCAGAATTGAAGTCATCCCTAGTCTACACGCGACCGACTACAGTGTTGTCTCTGTTGAGAAAGGGTAGGTCCTGCAGACATAGTGTTGTTCATTGAACCATGCGTGTTTGACTAAACACTATTACACATCTTAACATTGACGTTTACAGCAGACCGCAAACTTCAAAAGTTCTACAAGTTTTCGACAGCTCAGTAGCTCGTTCATGCATCAGTTTGAATTCACAAATTGCTCTAACTTCGAACAGCTAACAAGTTGACTTCGGTCTGTCATGAACGTCAATCTTAACGTCTCGCTGTGCAGCTGATGGTCGCCATCCTGTAGTTTTTCAGATTGAGAACTAAATAATGTTTATAATAGAAACAAATAGAATTGATGTAGTTTAATGTCTTACTCCAATAAATGTCAACGTTTCTGGAATAGACCAACATCTGATGCGCTGTATAGTAGCGCTCACGGAAACCTACCAACTGAAGTAAAATTTTTTTTAGCGACGGTGAACATTTTGAAATATGCATGGATGTCATTAATCAGACTAATTATGATGTGGAATGGAGATTTCAAATGAACACAGGTAGAGTAACTAACAGTGGCCCAACAATAATCAAGAGAGAATCCAGCATATTTATAAATATTTTTTTGTTAGGCGTGGCATATCCCGATGAAAGTAATATTCTGCCAGCTGGTCAGTCAATCAGGTCAGTATTACTTGTGAGACAAAATCAGATTTTTTTCTGAAGAAAACAGATTTTCACCATGCATGAATATCAATTAATACGTTCGTGATATCTGTTTTAGGACGACAATGGAATTAGAAAATTTTGACTTATCTGGCTCTGATTCGAAGGTAATTATTTAACTTGGTTTTTCTTGATTATTTACTTATGTTTATTTTATTTATTCATTGTGATTGATTTAGGGAACAGAGTGTGACGTATGCACTGAGAAACTTCTGGATCTGGTCAAGTTACGTTTTGAAATTATATCCTTTAAAATTCGTAATTCGTTGTTTTACACGCCGATGTGGAAAACACTCGAGACAGATTTAGCTGACAATGTTAGCGTGGTTAAATAAAGTCCATTGTCGTCGTCATCATCTTTAGTTTTTATTTAATAATTAAAAAAAACAAAATGTTTCTACATATTAAAAGTATGGTGAATGTGTGGTCAACAGGACATGGTTCCCAAGGGAATACCAACCTTGCAAAAGTTAGAGAAAGACACGGACAATATTTAATTATATTATTATCTTTACTCTTGGTGTTATACAGAATTGATTTCTTGAAGACGGTTTCATAGGCAGAAATAAAACTTCAAATATTTGGAGTTTTAAATCTTGATGGTTTGCAGATGACTCAAGAAATGACGAATATTGTGAGAAGAACTCAGTTGACTATTGGTTAGAATATTTCATAATAGACATCAGATTTTCAACATATTGAGCTATATTTCATTTTCTCTCGTGCAGTATTAAAACAGAACATGTCCTAATTCACTGGAAACTTGTTTCTTTAAAATAGAATTATCAGTGAATGGAGTTGAAACAAAGAAAGGAGATACCGTTCCTAGTACGGCGTCAAAACCAGTCTTCCTCACTATGACAGTTTATAACTCAAGTGGTAAGAATGAAATGATTTTTACGACAGACGGATGATTCGTCTGGCTGAACAAAGGAAATATGTTTTGTCTGATATTTCGTCTGAGGCAAGCAGACATCGGTCAAGATGAAATGATTGCGTCGTTCATTTCCTCAGACAAACTATTTCGTCTAGGTGAATGAAGGATAAATACGGCAGTAGAAACTTTATTACCCATTGTAACTCCTACTCAATTCAGCCGAATAATTTTATGAAATATTTTTTTCTTAACTCGTCTATTTTAAACATTGAGCCATTTGAAGTTGACGAAGATGGCAGGGAAAATTTTGAGGTGAAACAGAAGATTTGTTGGTTGGGAGCCACGAGTACTCTGCTGCCAACGGTATGGACGGTTATAGCTTCATGTCTCGCTGTTTATAGAGGAAGCGAGCGGGAAGAACAATGTTAAAAGTATCCTGATTGGTGCGGTATGATCATAGAAACCGCACAAGTGTTCCAGAGGTTCTTCCCGCTCGCTTCCTCGCCGTATTAGAAACTTCCTGACGTCACAGTCTAAACCTAGTTGCAAACTTCTACCTTGCCAAATAAAATCATCTGCCGTTAGGCAAAAAAGATATAGCAGAATTGAAAAATGTTTTTGCCAAAAAACTCTTCAAGTTGTATCACGATGTTTTGTTTTGACATTGACTGGAGTAAAAACACTTGACTTTTCAAGAGGTTTGAAACTACTGAATGGCTAATTAAAAATGATTTCCAGGGGGAAGGGGATACCTGGGATCACATAATTCGTTTCCCGGGGGGTAGCACTGTAATGGGAGTGTTGCTGTCCAGTGTCGTGTTATGTTCAAGGGCGTGTTGTGTTCAAATTTCAAAATATCGGTCTAATGTCAACATTGACTTGAATTTTAGTTTAATTAATATCCTCTTTAAACCAAACATGAATATATTTATGGTAAAAACGAAGCAGACATGACTTGGCAACTATAGGGAATGTCTAATTCAGTTAAATCCCTGTCTAAAACAGGGCGTTCGAAGTTTTTACTCTCGACTCTCGACTTTTACTCTCGACTCTCGACTTTTTACTCTCGACTCTCGACTTTTACTCTCGACTCTCGACTTTTACTCTCGACTCTCGAC